TAGGCGTCAGTGATGGTCTAGGGTCCATTCGTATTCGTTTGTTCGATAAGCCAGTAAAAACCGTAGACTTCTCTAAATGCATTTTCAATATCACAATTACATTCTAAATCGCTAGCCACGATATAAGGGCTAAAATTAAAAATAAAATTATAAAAACTTACTTGGTAAAATAAAATGTGTGGTGGATGTACAGTACAATACATACCTGGTACAAAATATTCTTCAATTGTATGAATATACTTTTAAAGAAAATTATAATTAAACATAGCTTTGAAAAGAAACATACATAAAAATAACATAAAATATTCTTTACTTTTTAAATCTTAAAACAATGCACTTAGTCAAATAGCTCCCTACGAGTGGCTAATGGATGGAATCGGAGACGGTTCTAGTAGGTGCATGCACGCGGGCTGCCAAATCCCCAGGGTGCCGATACAATGTCAAATGCCTGTTTTGTCGCATCACTAGTATACCTCAAAGGACGCGACAGGGTTGTTGTACATTTTAAACGTTTCTCACCATAGTTGTAAAAATATAAATATGTTAAACTTAATACTGTACTAAGTAGATTGTCCGTCATTTGTTTTCTAACTAATTCGTTTTAGTACCAGGTGTCCACGGAAATTTCCAAAATTTACAACTTTTCAGTCACTCTCATTGAACTGGAAAAATTTCTGTCTTTATTACGTCTAATATTACGAAGAAATCAGCCCCACTGTACTGTACTCAGCTAGAGATTGGTTCAGTTAAGTTGTTTAAGTAAAATTCCGGCTCTTTCGGCAGGGTTTTATTTATGTCCCTAATTCCCTAATCTCTTAATTATTTAACTAATTCTTAACTGGAAATAAGTCAAAACCGGTTACTTTGTACTTGAATATTTGTAGTCTTGGGAAAAAAAGTGGATTTAAGGAAAATAAATTCTAGAGCTCTTTTCGTACCTTGTGCATCTCATTCGTGAAAGTTAGTTGTAAATGATGCTACCAAATTAACTGTTCATTTTTAAAAGCATTGTACAAGAATTGTACACGTTTTTTTCCTGCATCCCCTTATAGATAGGACACACTAAATCGTAATATCACTAGTTTAATATTGAAATCTGTAAGTAATACAAGATGGGAGAGCAGAATAAAAATCAAATATTTTAATGGATTTTTTTAAAAACTCCTGTCAATTATACAGAACTATCACAAAAACACACCAGTAAACTCCTATCGGTTGGGTTAAGTTATAAATCTACTCGTGATTTATTCATTCATTCCGTCACTGATTCGAATATATAATAGCAATCTTATCGTTTTTTTCACACGTAGTAGGGGGAGATCGGGGCAAGATCGGCATGTTAAGCTTTACTTAAATTTTGTGTAATAAATACTGCTGTAAACTGAAAAAAAAAGCTTTGCATATTGTCTATTGGAATGTTACCTTACTATAGAACTGGTTAAAATCAGTTTGGAAATAAAAATAATTAAAATAATTACAACTTTACAAGAAGAGAGAAATTGACGAAGTTGCCCCGGGTATAGGGGCAAGATCGGCAACTTCTCTCTTTTTGTAAAGTTGTAATTATTTTAATTATTTTTATTAAAGTTGCCCCTGGTATAGGGGCAACAGTAATGGGGCAAGATAGGCACGTATATAAAATTATGTTATTAACAATGTATAAGTTGGAATTCACTATTAAAACAAAGAAATACAAATCCAACACCCATTTAATATTATTACAACGAAATGCAAGTTCAAAGACATATATACATGAATAACAAATGCAAACATGTTTTCATTTATCATCTGTTTGATTTTTATCCTTTGCTTCTAATGTGGCTTTATGTTGCCGATCTTACCCCGCTAGTCATGATTTCGAAACATTAAGTACAACCCTGAGAACAGAATGCCAAGCCACGATCTGGCCACGTGAATAAGTTGAAGTTACATCCTTCTAACAGGAAAAGTAACTTTCGTTATCATGGAATTATAACAAAACCTGCCAATTCAATATAAATGGAAAAAAAATATTATATGGAATTGAACGAAAATGAAAATTTGCTTGATAATTCAACTACGCTTGTTGGAGAACAATAAAAACACTACACTCAACAAGCCACCAATAAAACTCAACTGCCTAACCTATAACCAAAGTCTCCTTTTAATTTGTTTTTTAAAAAAAGCGCTTGACAAACTTGCCCCGTATGCCGAAGTTGCCCCGATCTCCCCTATAGAAATTTGTAAAAAGATACATAATGCGGTTATAATAAAATATTAATTTTAATTCATTTAAAGTACGTTAAAATATGAAAATAATCGCATAATGTGTATTTATATTTTAAAAAATACTATACAAGCGAAGCGGCGCTTCCACCGCTTTCAAAGACGGCACGCCACTGGTTAAGTTATAAATCTACTCGCGGTTCACGTAATGGGGCGAGGGCAGCCAGATATCTAGCAGGCAGGCGGCTAACAGCCCAGAGCCGGTCCTAGATAGAATCATTGGAAGCGTTGTATGTGTAGCTTACACCGTGAGGTTGGTATTCTGTAAAGCGCATGCGCGAATGTCTATAATCTGGCTGTTTTACACCATTTAAATATCTTCGTCGTGGAAGCTATCCCGTATTCGACAATACGGCGCTGTCACTCCACCACTAATATTCGAATATACGATAGCGATCTTATCTTTTTTTCACGTGTAGTGTGAGCCGCCGGGGAGGTTGGGAAGTCCTCTCCTTCCGGCCACAGGTCGGTGACCTACTTTCTTGTCAAGGATGGCGTTGCGTTCAGTTACGCGTTACGCGAGTGGAGGAGAGTCGGAGGGGTCGACGATAAGACGTTGGCTAAGTCGAGTAACGACACCATTAAAAAAAACAAAACAAGAGTTTATTAAACTAACTAACTAAATAAAATCTTACAAAACTCCTTAGACTTCGCGGATGAGAGAGTTTACAATAATATTTCATACCTCTGGGATAATATCGGATGGATACTTCTTACTTAAAGGTTTCGAAAAGCAGTGCTCGGTGTGGCACAAAGTCTTCCAATTAACAGCGTACAGTAGGTATGAGGGGAAGATATGGCCCGTCTTCGTGATTGTCCGTTCGATTGGCGACTCCCCCGAGAGGGGAAGGAGGATGGTTATACATTTTGTGGTGGGAAAATTTGTCAGGTGACCAATTGTTTTAGCAAGTGTGGGGTTAAAGTTGGTGTTAGAATGACAACAATATGACGAATTTCGCTGATAATTGTAAACTATACACGATTTGATCGTGAGAATGTTTATAGTTAAATAGAAAGAGTTATAAATTTCTCATACGCTTTATATTACAGTTCTGTAGGGTTAAATTCCTTTGGTTAAAGGAATTTTTTTATTTAAATTTATTAAAAATTTAAAGGATTACTTTCTTTTATGAAATTATATGAACTTCGAATTTCACATCACTTTTTGTTTTCTTTAAATTGTACTTATATAGTGCAATTTTAAAAATTAGGTGGCTGATTGATTTTCTCGGCTAGAGGTATGATTATAAAATGGTTACAAATCTCTCCTTTATTTTTCATCTCTCTCATCTATTGAAAGGAACAGTTAATTCATTGGTTGATATTTAGGTGTAGAAATTAGAACTAGGTGTACATATAATTTTTTCCGGGCACGCGTTAAACTCGCGACAATATTTATGGGTTACGCTCATTAACAGCGTCTTCTTAGGTTGTTTGTTAGGTGCTTACTCGTTGATTGGTGAAGAGTAGTTCAAAGTTCTTGTTGTGGAGGCTGGTTGTAGGTCTTCTTGTTCGGGTGAACGATATGAATTTGACGGGTTTGGGAACAGGAATTGGTGGATATCTTGATCCGAATATTGGCGAAATCTTCGGAAAGATGATACTTGGTTGATATGTTTTATTATGGAAGATCAGTTGAATTAGGTGAAAAATTTCAGTCGGTTCGGAACATGAATCAGCACATTCTGGAAGTGAAGTGATGCTGTTCTTGTCCAAATAAACTAGCATTAGTAACACTTTAAGGAACGAAGAATATCCTTGGTTTGTCGAGGTAAGTAGATTTACATAACGTTAAGTTTTTACTCTCTCTCTCAGATATTTTAAATTTTCATATCATGATATAATAATATGATATCATAGGATACAGAAAAGTTTTACCGAATAAAGAATAATGAATCTAGCATCGATTATCCCGGTATAAGACTGTGTACACACTAGGCGTTTTTAAATGCGCGTCGAACGCCGAGCTAACGCGCGTTAGCTCGGCGTTCGACGAGCGTTTAGCGGAGCGTGCGCATTGGCTCAGTTTAGAAATGGACGTGGAAGTGATTGCTTGTGTTTGGCTTCTCTATCGTCGCTATAAAAGACGACGGCAGAGGCAAAGAGAATTTTGGGTGCACCCAATATTACGAGATAGACTGACCCATGGAATGTTTGTGATGTTGTATCCAAAACTACGACAATATAAACCCAAGTTTTTTAATTATTAGAATGTCTATAAAATCATTTGACGACTTACTCCATATTATAAAAGTAGATATTACTGGTGAATCAACAATTTTAAGAAACTCAATTTCTCCAGAAGAAAAACTTGTTATAACGTTAAGGCAAGTACATTAATTAATTAATTTATTATTTATTAATTTAATACAATTTATTTAATCGAATAAATATATGTTTTCTGAATGTTGGCTGGAAGGTGATGGTGACCATGATGACGGGGGTGGCGGAGACGTTGTAGACCACTGCTGTGAAGACGCTGATGGTGTTGGGGGTCTAGCTGTGGTATATCCAGAATAAGTTGGTGTAGAATATGCGTATTGGTATTGATTTGTTTGTAGTGGCAATGACTGATGATAGTTCTGTGCTCTTTGAATGACATTGAGCAATTCAATTTTAGTCGTAAGGCGTCGATTCTCGGATACTTTTTTTAATTCACTGTACAATGATAAGCAGAATAATTTATCATCATCTTCTTTTGTTAGATGGCCTGTTTCATTTTGTTCTTTCGCGTTCAAACTTTTTTGTAAAATGTCAACGATTTGTTGTTCCACAACATTTATTTTTTGTTTTTTCCTTGACCCCCCGTTTTGGTGTGAAGGAGGTGGCATCAAGTCTTCATTATCTGCATCGGTATTTGTTGTTTCAGAAGATTGGTTTTCATAATTGCTTTCTGTATCATTATTTGCTATAGAACTGTCAAGAAATTGTAGTTTTCTGTAATACACATATGTCATATGTTTGGAAGATCCAGATCCAGACGGAAGCTTTTTTCGTTTTTTACACTCCCTCGTGTAATTGTCCCGAATGCTTTTCCACTTTTTCATTAGTGTAGTCCCTGAAAATAAAAATAATAATTTTAATTTTTACAGGTATTTGGCGTCTGGCTGCTCGTTCGCAGATTTGCATTACGGATACCGTCTTGGAAAATCGACTATTATAAAGATAATTGAACACGTTTGTAAAGTGCTATGGGACAAATTAAAATCCATATCCATGCCTGAAATAACAACAGAGAAATGGAAAGAAGTTGAAGAAGGTTTTAAGAAGTATGCCAACTTTCCAAATTGTATCGGCGCAATTGATGGAAAGCATATTGAGATAATGCAACCAAAACATATAGGCTCGCTTTATTTCAATTACAAGAACTATTTTTCTTCTGTCTTACTAGCAATTTGTGATGCAAATTACTGTTTTGTATACGTTGATATCGGATCTTACGGCAAAAGCAGTGATTCTGCTATTTTTCAACATTCACATTTTTATAAAAGAATGATGGATAATAAGTTAAATATTCCTAAACCGAAACCCATTTCGAATGTCGATAAAACACCATTACCTCACGTGTTCGTAGGCGATGAAGCCTTTGGAATCATGTCAAATGTAATGCGCCCATACGGTGGAAAACAACTTACACACACCAAAAAAATATTCAATTACAGATTATCGAGAGCAAGGCGCTATATCGAATGCACTTTCGGAATACTGAGTAACAAATGGCGAATATTTCACAGACCTATTGATGTAAATATCGAGTTCGCGGAAAATATTATGAAAGCCTGCACAGTATTGCACAATTACGTTCGAGTACGTGATGGTTATAGATATGAAGACACACTTTATAATTCGCCGTTACAATCTATACATTTAGAAAATACACCACGAGGCAGCTTGTGTGCTAGAACTGCAAGAGAAAAATTTCCCAACTATTTTGTAAACGAGGGAAAACTACATTGGCAAGACAACATGATTTAAGTATTAATACGGCATAATTATTGTAAGCATTTTAACAAATAATAAAATTACTCACCTAACAGTTTTTTTTTCTCCAAATTATCTTCAGAATTACAAAAAAATTCCACCATTTCCTCCCAATTTCGTTTCTTCACTACCTTATTTTTGTAATCGGGACTCTCCATGTCCCAAATGGCTGGTCTCTTTTCGATTTCATCAATAAATAAATCCGTATCAAAATGGTCGTCCTCCATTTCGGCCAACGTCCCAAAAGCGCGCGATCGAATGTACAGCAAAATGGCGGCGTAAATCTCGAAGCGCCCGTAAAGCGCCGGTAAAGCGCGCGATCGCATGTACGGTAACATGGCAGCACATATATCTCAAAGCGCTCGGCTAACGCCCGCAAAACGCGCGTTTTAACAAAAATCTATAAACGCGCGCTTGGCCAAAAGCGCGCGTTTGAGTGTGTACGCCTACATAGAACTCTTGGTTCTTTAAAACGCGCGTTGAAAAACGCCTAGTGTGTACAGGCTCTAAAGTTTGGAATACGCGTTTCAAAAAAATTATCGTGGGAAGAAAAATAGACAATAACCAATATAAAAGGATAAAAATAGGGTAGATTTTCTTCCCCTGAAATAGGGAGATATGGTTATTAATGCTTGAATTCTCTGACTTTGTTGAGATCTAAGAGTAAATAAGGGAATGAATTTGGACTAGGTTAATTTAATTAGAGCTCTTTTTCTATTTTCCTCTATTCTTGAAATGAAATTAATGCCCTAGCAATATGTTTCAACTCATTTGCAGACCTAAGGTGAGGATGACCGACTAGAGGTGGGAGAAATAAGTCGTGGAATACGACTACAAGTGGGTCGAGGCATAATCCATGGTTGATCCGCAACTGGCTCCTGACTTCGCAGTGCATGGGGAAGAGTAATTTCTTGTTCTTCTTCCATGTCCGATTCGTGGACTTCGCTTTCGGTCTCAGTTTCACCATTCTCACTTTCACTTTTCGATTCCGTTTGTTCTTCCGGTAATGGAGGGAGTATAGAATTCAAAATAAATTCATCCCACGGGTCAGTAATAATAATCTGTTGAGGCGTCGCTGCAAGTATGTCCTGTTCCGGTGATACTATAGGGCAATCGACGGTCATGTCGTTGTTATCCCGCTGTATCCTAGATCGCTTAAATTTTCTACGGGTTGCAGTTTTTCCTCTTTAGCTCCGTTTCTGTCGGGTTCCTCTCTTTTCTCTTTCGGCGGGAGCTAGTCGTTCAGTCTGTGGGATGTCCGGAGAGTTTTTCTTCCTTTTATTTTGGTCTTTTCGCCTCCTCTTCCTTCTGCGCGGCCTTAGGGGTGTGCAAAAATGTATAGGCTTCCGATTGGGTAGCATCACTTGTGCATTAGCAAAGTCGAACGTTAGTCGCGCCGCATCAATGACGTCGCGGCCCAAGATCCCTTCACACGGGGTTGTGACTTAGACTCGTACGATAGCACACGGCATGCAAAGTTTCTTTCCCCGTAATTTAAACGTAGGCGTCGCTATTCCTATAGCAGTAGTTGCTTCCCTAAGATTGGTCCTAATTTTTGTCTAAGTCCAAATTTGATATGAGCTTTCCCCTTCAATCTGTTCGCTAGGTCATTTGATATGAGCGTACGTTTCACTCTAGGGTCAACTTGCATTTTCATGGGGATATCATTAATATAGACTAATATGATCATATATGTAATATGATAGGGTTAGGTTTTAACACAGTTGTCGTTAGTCCTATTCTGCCTTTCCACCTCGTCTCGTTCTCCTAGGTAGGGCTTCTTTTAAGGTAATATTGAGGTCGTTGATTTTTGATACTGCGTATATTGCCTTTCCATTTGTTTTGTGTCTCTTCAGTCGGCTGAGATCGGAATCGTACCTTTTTTCTATCACTTTCGGATTCGCGTCGGCTTTGGAAGTCATTTCGTGGACGCGTAGTGTTCGCTAGGTTGATTAGGTCGATGGCCGGGCGGATTCCGATTTCGGGATTGATTCGTATTAGGTCGTCTAATCGGTTGATCGAATTGTCGATTAAGGCTGTTATACACGGTAAGGAAATCCTTTGAGGATTAACCGTGATTTTTTTTTCTATGTATCCATTTTTAAATAAAAATAATTCTTTATACGTTGGGAGATATTTTAATAAGTTTTGTAAATTACTATGTTCGATCCAGCCAGTTATATCCGAGTTTTTTTTGTCTGTTAAGCACATCCTTTGAGGATTTCCTTACCGTGTATACCAGCCTTTGGGGGAGTTCGAACGATATTCCCTTCTTCGAAAGATCGGACTATTATAAGTACTATCATTATAGTTGTTACTAGTATAGCTTCCTCGCTGGTTCCGTCTCGAGGCAGGGTGTCTAAAGCCGTTTTGAGAGGGGGATCTGGTTAAACCCTCCATGCGAGCCTTAAGCTCCTTCATTGCTGAGGTTGATTGCTGTAGATGGTTTAAAGAGGGGGAGGAGTCAGTCGACCTGTCGCCTTTAACGGTTCGCATGATTCCTCTAGGATGTGCGATAAGGTTCTCTATCCTTTCCTTGCTAATGGTGGCTTTCAGCGCGTCGTCAAATGTAGCAGGCTCTCGGGACATTGTTCGTTGCCTTATGCGTATATCGATTCCATTTAAGAATTGTGCCTTTAACCTCTCATCTAGCTCCTTGCTTTGGATTCTGTGAATAATGGCTGTTTCCGCGGCATTTGCGCCAGGATCCGGTGTGATTTCTATCTCCATGGCCAATGTTTGTAGTCGAGTGGCATACGTCTGTACGTCTTCCCCCCGTTTCTGCACGCACGTATAAAATCTATTTAGTCGAAATGTAAACGGTTCGCGGTCAAAGCGCTCTATCATCAGTCTCTTAAACTCGTCGAATTCTTCTACTTCCTTGATTCGACGGTCTTTCCTAACAAATTCCCGGGCTATCCCGGTAAGTTTAAGTTTGGCCACGGCCAACATCTGTGCCTTTGACCATGCCGCTACCTTGGTAACATCCGTCAATGAATCAAAGAAATCTGTTACTCTAGGGCCTCCAGCGTCGCCAGAGAATACAGGTAAAGGTATAATTCCACTCAATCCTCCCAACGTAAGGGGATTCGGCGTTGGGTTTGGATTTGGATTAGGGTTGCCTGCCCTAGCTGCATCACGAGCTGCTTCCTCCATTGGTTCTATTTTCTAAGGTCTAACTAGGTCTAAATCTTAAAATGTTAGGTCTAAATAATTTCTTCTTCGATTTAAATCAAACCCTTTCTCGACTATAGCCTCAATTCGCCTTATCGATTCGCCTTATCGATTTTCCGAAAAAGTAGGACCCCACTCCTGTAAACCAATTTGTGATGTTTCTAGGGATTTTTAGATTCAAACCCCACTCCCGTGACACCAAATTGTGAGCCGCCGGGGAGGTTGGGATGTCCTCTCCTTCCGGCCACAGGTCGGTGACCTACTTTCTTGTCAAGGATGGCGTTTCGTTCAGTTATGCGTTACGCGAGTCGCAATTAAGAGTCGGAGGGGTCGACGATAAGACGTTGGCTAAGTCGAGTAACGACACCATTTAAAAAAAACAAAACAAGAGTTTATTAAACTAACTAACTAAATAAAATCTTACAAAACTCCTTAGACTTCGCGGATGAGAGAGTTTACAATAATATTTCATACCTCTGGGATAATATCGGATGGATACTTCTGACTTAAAGGTTTCGAAAAGCAGTGCTCGGTGTGGCACAAAGTCTTCCAATTAACAGCGTACAGTAGGTATGAGGGGAAGATATGGCCCGTCTTCGTGATTGTCCGTTCGATTGGCGACTCCCCCGAGAGGGGAAGGAGGATGGTTATACATTTTGTGGTGGGAAAATTTGTCAGGTGACCAATTGTTTTAGCAAGTGTGGGGTTAAAGTTGGTGTTAGAATGACAACAATATGATGAATTTCGCTGATAATTGTAAACTATACACGATTTGATCGTGAGAATGTTTATAGTTAAATAGAAAGAGTTATAAATTTCTCATACGCTTTATATTACAGTTCTGTAGGGTTAAATTCCTTTGGTTAAAGGAAATTTTTCGTTTAAATTTATTAAAAGTTTAAAGGATTAAATTATATGAACTTCGAATTTCACAGTAGTATAGTAATTTGTAATAAGATATATAATGCGGTTATAATAAAATATTGTGCGATTATTTTCATATAATTAAAATTAATATGTATTTAATTTTTAGAAAATACAAAGGAAGCGGCGCATCCATCACTTCCAATGACGGCACGCCACTGCTGAATTCCTAGGGTTTTTCTGACTTATCCAGGATCCCGAGGAGTTTATCATTTTAATGTATTGCTTTGCCGCATTTATAATTGAAAAACCATGCTATTTAAGGGGGGCGCTGTTGAGTAACCTCGGCTGCTGGTGACTTTTTGTTGGAGATTTTGTTAACACTTTTTTTATTGTAAATTACTGGGTTTTTTTATTTATTTGCTACCTAAGTTGGTGCATTTTTTTGCTCAATTGTGTTATTCTGTGTCATTAGTTCTATTTTTTTTGGNGCAAATCTCCATCCATGAATATAGTAACTGTTTTCAATTAAACTGCTAATAACATGCTCTTGACTATTGAATGAGAAATAATATTCAAAAGACGTTTACAAGTTCCAATTCTCTTTTGTTTTTTGAGTTAAATTCATATTCCTGCTATTCATAGAAAGTTATATACAGGTAATTAATAAAATGGTTAATTAAAATTTAAATAATTTAAAAATTATATAATTTATCTATTTCTTTTTATTTAATATAAATTTTAAGTTATTCTCTCTAGTCTTTTATTTCAAGTTAAAGTTATTTCAAGTTTCCTAATTAAAAATATCAATATTAAATTGAAAAGATCAACTTGTAATTGCTGATTTTGTTATTATTTCGTTCATTATTTTTATACAAAAATATATTATTAGTATATAAAGCTAATTTGAAGATTAAAATAAATGTAATTTCTTTTAATTAAGTTAATTAAGAGAGCACTTTATTAAAGCCTTTTTCGTTTGATATTTTAATGTAATGTATAGGATGATGCATATTCATGTGAAGTTTCTTGCCTAATTTGATTTATTGCAGTTCCTCACATAGAATTTTTGAATTAATTCGTACTGTGTAATTTTTTCTATAATAAACACGAATGAAAAACATTATTTATTATTCTATATGATCATAAACTACTGTTTTAATTAACAAAATCAATAAAAAAGGTCTATAATTTTAAAAAATTAATTATTTGCTTATGTAACATTTTGAAAATTTAACCCGAAATTTTCTCCATTAACAAAAATTATGGGTGCAAAAACAAGTGTTGTTGGAAATATTTTGATCATAGATCATACCAGCAGTAAATTTTATCTTTTTTAAAATACAGTCAACCCTCCTATAACACAGTAGATACGTTCCGCTTTTTATGAAATTGATGTTTTAGGAGATCTTGCCAATCACAGCCCAACACGTGTGAAGTTTACCGACTACAGCTGTTTGAAAGGTTTTCTTCCATAAAATTAGACTAATTCGACTCAACATTTCCAAAACACGTATAATTTTTTGGGAATAATCCGTATAAACTATGCTATAAACAAAAAATTGTAGGATTACTTACCGAGTGTGCACCGTTCGACATCGCCATTGCTTAAGCTTGTTTTCGTCGTGGAGCAGTGCACCAAACCGCAGCCGCGATTTCTGATAAGTTATTTTTCTGCGAAAACTTCGTTGAACTTTGGAGACATCATTAATATAAATAATTTTTATGGCCGTTGAATAAGAAATGTTTCTTTCACAAGAAATGTATAAAATTAGTGCTGTATTAGACTTACGGTACCTAATTTACATACTGTACAGACTATGGTAAACTCAACTTACTCGCCTAAACTCTCCGTAGCGTGGCTCTGGATGGCGAAAAGTAGTTCGGCTGCCCGATGACGTTTTACCGAATTATAGTTTTTTTACCATGTTTATACGGATACCGTCGCAATTTTTTCGCCGTCATGTAGGATTCCAAACTATAGGAACCCGTATTATAGGGGGGGGTCGACTGTACAGTATTTTATGCAGAAACTGAAAAAAATTTCAGTTGTAATACTTACATTAATATTTAGTTTTGTTCCAAATTTATACTTTATGATAACGAAATACGTCGAAATTTTTTCAAAGTATTAAGAAAAATAAAACACAGACACCAATTTATTCTGATGATTTTAATAAACTTGTTGACCTACGCGCATCTTGTACAGTACACAGAACATAGGACAGTCCTGTTGAATCAAAGATAGACACACAGACACCCAGTACAGAACAAAGAAAGAAGCAGTAATGTTGTAGGCTGCCAGTATGTCTCGATGGAGGGGTGATTGGTTTCAACACAATTTTTTTGGTTTTTTCGTTTTTTAAGAGGATCGGAATTTCAACGGGTAGAAGAAAATCCGGGGAAGATACCAATGTTAAAATCACGTAAAGCAAGCAAATGGAACACTCAATTGCAATGTGGCTATGAAGTCGAAAGGTCAACAAATACTGACAGCCAGTACATTGACTGATAGACTGTACATCGGTAGGCTCCGTACATCCTGGAGTGCGGCGGGTGCGGGCAAGACCCGTTCGTTCGTTCTTTCTCTTCACTTCGATCTGTGGCAGATACACCTCTTCCATCAGAAAAATACTGTAATACATATACACTAGCTCCTGGAAAATTGCCCTTTGAAGAAATAAGGATTCTGCCATCTCTTTCTTGAGAATATTCCTCCTTTCTTACATACTGTTCCGCTTGATGAGCTTTATGTAAATCTTCACACAATAAATACTGAAAATGTAGCTTACATCTTCTACAATGCATGTAATTATAACAACTACCACACAAGTTGAGGGCAAAAAAGGGATTTTTTCTTTTTTTTTTTTTTTGCAAAATGCATCATTGTTCTATCATTGGAAATTTTTTCGTACAAATTGGACAGCATCCATTATCCCCTAAGTTTGCTCTTTACAAAACAACCGTGTGGCAAGTTGGGAAAAGTACTCCATTGACTAAAGGTAGATCCAACTCGGCTTATGTACAAGCAGCTACCATTTGGTGCCGACTGAACTGGTTAAAACCATCGCTCTTCGCTGTCTGGACAAATAGTAATTAACAACACTGAAGTACCTCAAATGTACTTCCAAGTAATGTGAAGGGGATGCAACAACAGTTCAAAAAAGATTTTTTTTCCTCGTTTCTTAAATTGTATTTTCATGTCTGTTGTATATAAAAGACATGCCAACCAATGGAACTTGATCCCATAATAACTTGCAGTGTTTATCGGGTGTGTGTTGCAATGTCTAGAGCCGCTCTCTGAAATAGGACCGCTCTGGACACCAACAGATAAAAAGAAAGAAATAAATGAAATAAGGGCAGATAGCGGGGTGGCCCACTGCAAGCTCTCCCCGCTTTTAGTCCCTGATATGCTACAACTAGTTAAATATAGTAGAAATTCTACCGATGGTACCTGCCCTAAAGTAATCAACAATGAATCCGGTTGGCCCGTGCAAATTTTTTTTCCTCTACGTCTAGTAAACGGCAAGATGTGATATTCTCTGCGGAAGAGCAGAATTGAATATACATATATATATGCTTCAAAAAAGTTGATGGGACATGGAAGGAGGGATTGAAGATAAGACCCGGGAAGAGAGATGTATATAAATTAGAAAAACAAAACTTGTTTCCACGATATTACATTTCTTAAAATGTCTATAAATAACAATTTTTTTTTTCTGAGATATTCTGCATATGCAACTTCCCCCATGCCTTGCCAATATTGGCAATATACATATATATATATATGTTATTTTTTGGTTTCCTCGATGTGCCAGATATATATATATATATATATGTATATATATATGATATGATATAGCAGAATACTGAAGTGGTTGAATAGATCCTCTCCACTACTCTTCACCACAACAGATGTTCTCTTAATTTTCATGGTTAAAATTGCAAATTGTAAAAGGTAGAATTTTTCTTTTGTTTTCTTCAAATTCTCATGTTTAAATAAGAAAATCTACAAAACTAATGAAAGTGAAATGCTTATCAACATTTTTTTTTTGTATTACAAAGATCATTTTCATTTCTTCTATTGATGTAATTGGAAAGAACTCTTATAATGGAAGCAACACTTAATGTATTCCGCCAACTAGCAAAACACGGAAGCAAGCATTTGGAGATCATAATCACAATACTGAATAATACAATGCTTATGCCTAATTGTTGGCGGAATAAAGTAATATGATCTGGCAGAAACAATGTGGTCTACATTTCGTCACATTCTGCTAAGAGGAAACTATGGGAAAGGGGAGATCTCTACCGTTGTTCTGCCGTGGGACATAGAAGCGATATTACACAGCGACAGTGACAAAAACAAAATGCCTGCTAAAATAATCGTTCCTAGATTGCAGCATGATTCTGGTGGGTTAAAAGATCTATGTCCAAATAACATGCTGCCAAAGTCTGTCGGGCTCTCTTTTGATGGATGAATACTTTTATTGCATGAAGTAGTCTGGATGTTCTGTTGGGGTGTCCTTCTCAAACCTTTTGGCTTCCTCCTGCATGCTTTCTTTAATCTTCAGGATGGCAGCTGATTCATTCTGATCCTAGAAAGAAATGAAGATTAGTTTAGACCAACACAAACCCTCATTAAAAATCTAATTATTTGATTTACTTAAAAGATTTTGATAAATTAATTCATTAAATTTATTATACATTCAAAACAATCTAATTCTAAATAGAAGGAAAACTATTAACAAACTTTTGTCTTAACAAATTATTTAGCAAACCTTAAAAATTATGTATAAGGTAGGAGAGTCCATTATGCCATTACAGGCAGATGGCTCATTAATTAAGGACATACTGGGCTTTCCTACCTTATAGATAAGTTAATAATAAAATTGAGAGATATCTTTAAGTCTTACTGTTCAATTTCCATCTATGAAATGAAAAATAAAATAGAATTCATTATTCTTAACACTAATGTCATCTTTCTCATGTAAGACAACTGCATGCACGACATTTATTTAGTGATAAATCTGATAAGATTCAACCATTACAATTAAGCAAAACAAAACAAATTTAACTTCGCAGTAGCTGAATTTGAATATTCATTGAAATTTGAATATATATTTTGTTATTTTTATCATTATATTTGCAAATATCAAAAGCATGAGTTAAATTATTACATATCACAAGTAATAATGATTTTAATTAAGCTATAAAATATATTTAAACAGTGTAACTAGTTAATTTTCTATTACTCAGAATTACTCCATATCCATTATCTGTTTCATATTTGTGCAGACATACAGTATATAACAGGTAGATAAATTATAATAATCTTAAAATATAATAAGGTATAGCCAGCCAATATATTATGGGATAAACTAAATATATAATCAAAACTGAATTAACTATTACAGAAGGCAAATTATATCTTTGAACTAAAGTAAACTTAAGACTGATTTGTTAATGTAAGGCACCAGCACATCAGGCTATATACGATTATAGCCCAATGCTGGTACCTGACATTGACTTGTCACATGCATTATGAGTGCATCTGTTCTGGTGAAGAATAAGAAATAATATCTTCAATCTATACTATTAATACATACAATAGATTATAGTGTGAATCAAATTCAAACCTAGACACACAATGGCCTATCAAAACAAACCTATTCCAACGAGGATCAAAAACCTTCATTTCAACAAAAGCTGAAATATTTTATCACTCATCTTCAATTTCTATACAAATTATAAAACTAAAAATGACAATTGTAAACTGTACATAAAAAAAATGAATGAAAAAACAGTAAATATAACTTTGGTCATTTTATTAACGAATTTGTTAAGAAAATTTAGAATTATAACTGAAAATTACTTTCAATTTATTTCCTGTTAATGAAGAAAAAATATTTGGCACTTGTAGCAAAGGCAACTCATCCATTAAGCATTATAGGCATGTGATTAAGATGATGAAAATTTCAAAGCAGTAATATGTTAAAGTGTACAGTACATAACAAAATTTTGCAAAAAAAATTCTTGTAAGTACTATTACCTGAAAATGGACTGCTTTAGTCGGAGAATTTCTCTACACTTGCACATTCAGAACAGAGTGCTTTCAGAACCGCACTACATTCTCAAGGTCTGTTATTTTCTAAAGATTCTTTTAAACATTGTTTCTTGGAAAACTTGAAGATCAAACATTTTTAACATGATGGTTTCTTTTTTTCATTTTAAAAAGTTGTTTTCCAATGTTGCAAGAAACCAAACATTAAAGAACTGTTTTTTAGAATGTAATGACACCTGAGGATGATGCAGGGCTTCAAAAGGGTGCTGCTCTGAATGTGCACATGTAAATAAAAAAAATACCTCTGAATAAAGCAGAGAAGTTTTTGTATTTTGATGTCTGAGTAAAATAATTTGTTAATACTGTACTATTATCTTAAGTGAATATATATGTATTTTATGTATATATCTGTGTATGTGTATTATTTGTAAATATATAAGTAATAAGTTAATAATATTATGATGATGATAGGCTGCATTTTGTTTGTTTACTTACTTTTAATGTCAATGTAACTTCATTAATATTAATCTAACTTAAAACTGAAGTGACAAAGTTGTAAAATTGTTTGCTAAATTTGTAGTCCTAATATTTCATATATAAAAAATTGTTTTAATTTTAAATAATTTGTTAAATTTGAAAATATTTAATTAACCTGTTTGATATTTTGCTAAAATTCAATTTTTATAATAAATGAAATGGTTAAATTTATTATAAAAGTTTGAAAATACTGTAAGCTGAAAAAAAAGGTTTCTTGATGAGGATTTAATTTTCTGATTTGTGTAATAATTGGACAAAATATTTCTTAACTTGTATAGGAATAGACTTCTCAACAGAAATTGACTGGATTTATAATGGAGCAATTCCAGGTCAAATATTCAAGTAATTTTGTACTGTTGATAACACTGAGTAATTTTATGACAAATTAAAGGAAATTCCATATAAAAATAGCAAAACTGTTTATTTACACTTGCCATTTTAACACTGACACGTGAAAGAAAGTGTTACATTTGTTATTGAAGTCATCCTTGGTTTTGTAAATATGTAAGCACGCACACTAATAAGACAACTTTGAAAACACATATACATGTTCTTAACTCTTTACAGCCCAATGCATATATCATGTATATTTATGGGTGCACTCATCGAAAGGTTAAAATGAAACTTCTGTGGTCAAATATGTTTTCAAGACAGTTAAGTTTCAGAAATTTACATATTTAAATTTCAGGCTAGATTGTCTATCTTAAATCAAAAAAAAAAAAAACAAAATATCCAGCATTTATATTTCTTTTAACAAACTACTAAGGTTACTTTAACTATACTGTTTATAAAATGTAAATGACTAATATTGTGGAAATTCATCATCATGCCATTTTTTTAACCAAGATGTTTCCCAATGCTTTTTAAGAAGTGAGAATGGCATTGTAAATGTGAGAAATTCAAATACACAGAGATTTATCCAGGCTGCAAAGATCAAATTTCAAGTCATCTTGAAAAAACTTCTTTATGATAATTGTAACAGTCTACGATACTCTTTTGTCTGCTTCCTAAGAATTTGTTTATTTTTATTTTACTATAATCAGTTTCTTTAAAGACTCAGACATAGATAAATCTATGCAAATTAACTAGAAACAAACAGTTCACATCCCTGCCAGATGTTTCTATTGTAATTTGAGATCAGTAAAGACTGCATTTCTCATGTAGTCTTCACTGACTCCAAATCACAATAGAACACTCTTTTCACAAGTCTATCTTGTTTTAGAATAGGTTTTCTTTTTTAAGTTTAGCATTATCTCCAAACACATTTTAATGTTTTCTTTCACTTTTACTTTTCCAGCTATTATGTATACAAGACAAGGGAAAGTATTGGAATCACGTCAAATTTGACCCTCTGAATTTTTTGCAAATTTCCACATTTTGAGACTTCCTGAATAAAAAAGTAAACAAAAAAAAAGTTCTGTGGATGTGTGTGCATGTGTGTTGGTGTATTTCACTTAATATCTCAGAATGCAGTAAAGATTAAAAAATAAAAACTGGCATGGTGGCTTGTATATGAGAGGCGTTGTTGCTATTAAAGTTGGTGATGAAAGGTCGAGAGAATGGGGAGAGAGAGGGGTCATGCATCTCTAGAGAGGTAAGTCTTAATGAAAATTTTATTCGTTATTAACATTTACACTTTTTTTTTTTATATAAAACTCAACCCTACCCTCAATTTTGCTATTTTATAGTAATTAAAAATATAAAAAATTTTTATAACAAAATCTGATCAGATGACACCTCATACAATTTTATTTTTTGCTTAATAACATAAAAGTTTTTTTAAATAAAAATTCATAACAACCAGGAAAGTTACTCAACTCTAAATGCTAGATTTTTGTAGAATCTTATAACAGTTAAGTGATGAAGGATTAGAATTTTTTTTTGGAATATTTATGTCATTTTTACTACATTACAATATACAAATACATTACACAGTATTCTTTTTATTAGCAGCTGTCATGTGCTTACATGTCTTTTAAAAACAGTTGATGATTTCAAAAACATTAATACAATAAACTTTGCAGTTTTTAATGCATACGAATCTTTTAAAAAATAATGACAACTTGAATGCTTTGACAAATCAAAGTTTAAGACATAATTTAATATTTTTGCATTTAAGCATTTTCCTGTCGACTTCTGTTTAAATATTTCCATTTTCTGTGCTGCGTACCCATGGAGAACCAAGCCTGAATTTTAATAACAACACACCCAAATGCTGAATATTTTGGACTCAGAAGTACCCAACAGTTAACTTGATTAAATGTGTCAAAAACTTTTAATCAACCTCAAAAATCTCATTTTAATACATCTTTGATGGTTTTTCAGAAGCTATTTTAAGGAATCAAAACTATGTCAGCTTTTGTTCAAAATTTAAGCAGTGCTTAAAATTTCCTTTATAAAACATTACTTTATCTTTACTAACTTGTATATTAAGGGCCTCAAAAATATTAATATGCAAAGGTAAATATTAAAATATTTAAACTGCTCATCACCAAAACTATCAATCTGTAAACTTTATCATATTGCAAAGATGTCTGAGTAGCAAGTGATTTTCCTAGATGAAAAATGAAAATTTCGGTATGGAGAAAGAGTAGAAATCATATGAAAATAAACTCAGAAAATAATAGAGAAAGACAATCTTTTAAATGAAAGATAAAAATGAAATATATTTGTATAGTTTCATTATAATTTCATACATAGCTTTCAAAAATTTGGAATTATTTCTTATAACACCATATATATTTGTACGTGTATGTGTGAATGTAAATAAATAGAACCATAATATTTCCTATTGGTAACTATCGCAATTTATATTTTTATATTGTTATGAAAAATTATAATTATTTTTATACAATACATTTCTGTTCAGACACTGTTAGAATTACAGTATTATTTTCTTATGAAATAACTAATAAGAGCATGTTATTTTTGATACTTAATTCCTAAAACTATATATTAAATATGTAGAAGTAATTATCCAAAGTGTTTGCTTATACCTATAATAAGTACCTTATTTACATTATAATATATATAAATATAAAATGCACTTTAGTAATTAAACAGAATAAATATTTTTGAAGAGTTCATTTTGAATGTGAAGGTGGCAACTGATTTGCCAAAAACATCTCTCATTCAATTTTTTATTTAACAAAATAAGCAAATCCCAAATTAATCAAATCTAAATCACATTTTTTGGCTGTGTTTAAGCTAATTTTAATTAATCAAATAATGGTGTGATAATCTTAAGGCCAAATTACATTACCTGATTAATTAAAATTAGGTTAAAATATAATTTGGCAATTTAGACTTGTCTTTTATTAATTAACATTAGGTAACATTTTTATATTTAATTTTTCAGACTGATGAAAGTAAGACTTGGCATTTTATTTGTTGTATAATAGATTAACAGAGTTTTCCAATAAGAATGCCACCATTTTAAATTATTGTAATTATGTTAATTATTACCTGAGAACCTTGTAACATACATTAAATCAATGGAAAACTGTCCAACTTCCACATTTGCCCATTACAATTTCTTGATGCATGCATGTTGTGTTACATGGCACTTATCCAACTGACACTCAAATTCTTCCTATACTCACTGCGGCATATTTCTAGTCACTCCTCTCATGCCAGCCATGATTCTACAACTCCTGCAGATTACTCAAGCAATAACAAGTAACTCCAGCTTTGCAAACTACAGAACACAAAATGGCTTCTCTATTGAGGAGTTGCCATTTTCATTTGTGTATTTCCTAGAGGTAGTAGATGACAAGACTTTCAAATACAGTTGGGAGAGGAAACTTGGATGGTTACTTTAACAATTGGTACATGTCACAGACTTCTCAGATAACATAACTACAGTATTTTAAACAGGCAGCATTCATTTTGGGATAACCTTTATTTTAATTTGATTTAACAATCTAATTTTAGTCATTTCAATCAATTATTAATTCAAAAATTTATTTTAGTATGCTTTTAATAACTAGATATTAGTAATATAATTTGTGTGTAACCTTATTTTTAAGGAAAAAAAGCAATTATTTGAGTCTGTATATAATAAAAATACATCAAGCAATAATAAAAAAAAAATCTCATTATAGAAGTTATATGAATAGCACATTTTCGAATGGCACAAATATGACAAAATTTTACAGATAAAGTTAAGGTAGACACATTACACATCTATTTTAACACAAAACCTGCTATAATGAGGTTCTTTCTGAAATCAGTATGTTATGAGTATTACCTTTTAAGTAAACTATGTTAAATGACACAAGAAAAAGTATTATTTTAAACATTAGCAGTAAATAATTAAGATGCATAACAGACCTGAAGCCTGAAACTGAGCTTTCCCAGATAATCTGAATATTGATGGGAGGGAAAAAAGTTGCCTTCTATCCACCAAACAGGCAACACAAACCTTATGTTTATTAAACTCCCAAACTCCCAAAAATATCAGCAACAAAGCCTCCAAACCCACATAATGGAAATGAAATTTAAGTGCAGTGAAATATAAATGCATTTGCAAAACTGGTCTTGTTGCAAATATGAAAAACTCCCCCAAAAGAATAATTCTAACATGGAAATTTATTGGAACCTCCGTCCACCCACTGGCAAAAAAAGAAAAAAAAAAGAAAAAAAGAAAAATAACAAGAAATGAAATATCCTGACACTCCACAGCAGACAAAAAAGCCTTAAAGCAGAAAATGATACAAAAAGAAAAAGTAACGTAACAGCAGAAAAGGAAGGAAACAAAAACAATGAAAAACAGCAAGATAAAAGTGAAAAACTCAGCTACAGTTTCAGCCTTCACAGTCACAGATCAAAGACCTAAGAGAAAGATTGCTTTTATAAATTAGATGGAGCCAAGTGCATAAAAAAGATGAGAGAGATAGTAATCAAGTAGTAGTAGTAGTAGTAGTAGTAGTAGTAGTAGTAGTAGTAGTAGTAGTAACGGTAGTAGTAGTAGTAGTAACAGTAGTAGTAGTAGTAGTAGTAGGACTGGGAGGTTAAAGACCGATAGCCAACGTACCTGGCATCAATTGTTCCTGCACTTAAATTTCACAAAGGTGTGGACTGGTGACTGGTACAAGCCTGTAATGGCATCTGCATGTCAATTTCCTTTTTGATTATGTTTACCACACTGTACACCAACATGGCCAGAAAAACCAATTAGATTCCTTACTAAATGCTTATATAAGCACTTTTCACATTGTATAAAATTATACCCATCTGAAGTAACTTATAGAAATTCGTTGTTTTAATTTAGCAAATGTCTTGTCATAATAGGACTGTAAGGAATCTAATCGATTAGAGACGAAAGATAAACAGTTGGCCACTCACACTATCCTGTCCATAACTTGGGATGCCGTAGTCTCCGATTGGAGGACCATCTTCCCGAGGTGTGCCAGGACCATTTGCCGGAGAGTTTTTCATTCCGTCTAAACCGTCACCTGAAAGAAATGCAATTTACAATTATTTAGAGTTTGATTATTTATCTACCCAAAATTCTTATTACAAGATATATATAAAAATATTAAGTTTAATCCTTAAATCATTACTTGTTAATAAACAATACAATTTATTAATATATGAGTGATAACACAGAATCATAGGATTCTTTTTTCTTTAGTTTTATTTAATGCATTTTGTTTATTCATCACATGTAACCTACTGCTTTATTTATAGGTCATGGAAACTTAAAAATCATAGAATCACTTGTCATAGAAGCAGAAGAGAAAATAAAAGAAAACATTTTTTTAAGATGGAAAAATACACTTAACCATTGAAGTAACATCAACAGTACTGTTTTAAATATGAATTCAAATATGCAAAACACATTTAAAACACAACTGTAAAGGAAATACCATATCCAAGAAGCATGTCACATCCTCTGAATTATTCAATAGGTGTTAGGTGTAAGCATGGATATTTACAAATTTTAAAGAATCAATCCTATATTCTGTTAATGAATATGGGAAAATGGAGTTGTTATAATGGAATCTGCTTATTAATAAAATATCATTTAGAGGAATTACTGAATTTCATGCTTTCTAATGTCAGTAAATATTACTATATTACAAAGAAATTTGTTGGTTTCTATTTATTTTAATTTTTACTTTGTTTTCCATTTCATTTAACTGCTAATTTTTAGTGCAAGTTTCTTACAAATACACAAAGTTTGATATTGTAATGATATACAGTTAGTCTTAGTTAATGAGTATACAAATTTTGGTTGCCAAATTAGGGTTTTATCATCATCATAAATGACAAATAGTAGAATGAATCTGAATTCTAGTAAACTGCTTGAGTACATTCTTTTCTGCTACTTATAACTTATGTCTAGAAACATCTATTAAAATTTTTTGGCCACTGAGATTAAGCTATCTATAAAAAGATTTTGCAAAATTAAGCTTTTTTTTCTCAAAAAATGCTTTATTCTGCAAACCTAATTTTCACAGCTGATAGTGCTCTTATAAAAGAATGAAAATATTACCAATAAAATTAAATTTGATTTTCAGAATTAAGCAGTTTTTCTCATCTTTTTGGATATGGTTCCAAGTTAAATAATTCATAATGTTAATGATGTAAGTACAGATGTGCAAATCTTTCTAGAACACAAATTTGTCAGATTTTAGATAGATACATTACTAAAACATAAGCTTAAAATTGTAAAATTTTACTTTTTTTTGAAAAGTAAAAGTTTTATTATTGATTAAACAAGTAAAACACCAAATCCATTTTTGGGACAAGACTATGTCTCAGAGATTCAGGGCTCGACTGCACACCATTTTCTAAGGAAAAGAGAAAAATGAGCACTCTCTAAGAGGAAAGGTTGACACCAGTACTCGGGGTCCTGGAGTAGATTACTATGGGCTATGGTTGTTGCAGGCTTGTTCTTGTCTACAGTAAGCGGGATCATTTTGATGCTCATGGTGGGTCTCATTCTCCAATCCTCTTTGGTATTGCTGGCTTTGAGCGTGATTGTTCAAACTTTGCCAGCCTCGACCATGGCCATAACCATGAGGTCGTCCACGAGGAATTTTCAGTGAAATTAACCTATCTGATGTTGAAATTTCTCTCTGTTGCATGTCGCACCGGGTTGACTTTTTGTCAATGCCTAATGAAAATTTCCCAGTTTTGTAAAAATAATCATGATTATTCTATTGTCCGAAATTATTTTTTTATTTTGCACAAACAAAATAAATACATTAATAAATGTAAAAGCAAAAATAATTATATTTTGGAAGTTAGTTTTTATATTAAAAAAAATAACTATCACCATCTAGTTTCAAAAATATTCCAATGCTGAAACGAGATATCTCGGATCAACCGGTCAACGTCACCATATCATGACAAGAGATATGTCGGGATTAACACGGGACAGGTAAATGGGTTTTTTCTCAAAGATCTGTTTGTCAAAATTCGATTTTGCAACATTTGTATTTTGAACTTCCCAATGAGCAATGCACAAATCTAGTGCCTGTTTGTAGAAAGAGTGTCCCCATTTTGTATTTTATTTTGACTCGGTTCTTGGTCCCTAAGTACCTACAAGTCTGATTCTTTTTATGTGCACATGATTTGGTCACCTAATACTGTGTGCCAAATTGCAACTCCTTTATACCTCTAAAGTATGGAACTGTTGACAGCACCACAATTTTATAAACAAGACAGTCTTGTCAATAAATTAATGTAGTTATAAAGGTTTCTGTAACAAATCATTGTATGTAGTAAATTCATTTAATTTATACAACAGCAATATCATACACAAATAATTTATATTAACAATCAGCAATTTTGTATCAGTATAATTCAGGGCTTTTCGTAAGTCACATGGCTTCAGATTGTGCAGAGAAGTATCAGGTGATTGCAGGCAAAGCATCAGGGACAAGTGTATAATGTACTAGTTATATGATGCATCATTCCAGATCTACAATACTGTCAAAGGGAAAATTAAATGCACAAAATTCATATGCATGGTCAAATAATTTTCAACTAATGTAGGCCCAGCTCAGTGGTGTAGCGAGGGGGTGCAAGGGGGTGTATCATGCACTGGGTGCCACTCGCAGAGGGATGCCCAAATGGTCTCCAAGACAAACTGTGTGTTTCTGGAGGGGCGCCAGTTATGGCAATGCCACTGGCCCAGCTGCACAATTCTATAACTCACAACTACCGTATGTTATGGGCATTGAACTTGTTTTTTTAATATTAGATATGCAGAAGTAGCAAGAACATGACACATTACTGGTTTTTAATCTTAAAAACATGGCATGAATGACTTAAATATATTAAACAACAATAATAAAAAACAGTGTATTAAATAAAATAGGTACAATCCCCAACACCTACTTAGTTGTAGTTTACAGAATTATGCAGCTTGGCCTACATTAGTAGAGTGATTTGACCATAAATATGAATTTTGTGCATTAAATTTTCCTGTTGACAGTATTGCACACCCAGAATTATGCATCATATAACCAGTACACTATACACTTGCCCCTGATGCTTTGCCTGCAATCACCTGATCTTCAATGCACAATCTCCAACAATATGGTACATGACTTATGAAAAACCCTGTATAGAAGCACTTATATGGTTGAAAACAAATCAAGAATTTTTATAATTATTCAAGCAAATTTAAATTTCAATTATAAAGAATATCACATTATCTTAATACTTTCCATACAAAAATATGTAATAAAGTTTTTCCACATTTTAAAATACATTGGAGCTTGAAAAAAAAATCTATGGTTCATAAAACAAAGACAAGTGTAAATAACAAAATAAATTTACAGTAGAACCTCGATTATCCGCCCTAATTGGGGACTGGGGTTGGTCGGATAATTGAATAGTCAGATAACCGAAAAGTATGAAAAAATCCATTATTAGTGTAGTATATTATTATATCCCATGTAATTAGTATATTGGTATATCGCTATTAACCTATTTTGCGTTGAATTTTCATCGATGTTAAGCCTAACAAAAATTTTTTAAAATAATAATCGTCGCTATTGTATCGTTAAAAATTAGAAAATTAAGCTTCGTTTAAATACTGGCTCCCTTTCATGGTCGAATGAGTGTTGCCAGCTAAAACACGTAAAAATAATATTAAAGTAGCCAAGACATAGCCAAATATTGTAGCGCCACATCACTAGCGGACATTTGAAATTTGCCGACTAGGATGGTCGGTTAACTGAGGGGTCGGTTGATCGGGGGGGGGGCGGATAATCGAGGTTCTACTGTATTACCAAAAGTTAGGTATAAACATGCTTACTTTTCAACACAATCACCATGAAGATTGAGGCATTTGTCATATCTGTGGACGAGCTTTTCCATCCCCTTGTCATAGAATGTTGCTACCAATGACTTGAGATGGGTCCTAACATTATTTTGAAGATTGTCATTAGTCTTGAACCTCTGCCCTCCTAGCCACTTTTTCTGTTCAGGAAAGAGGTGGAAATTGCTCAGCAATAAATCAGGACTATAAGCTGGGTATTTAAAGTGAAGACTTCCACCCAGCTTGAAACTTTTTAATATGTGAAGATTTCCACCTCTTTCCTGAACCGAAAATGTGGCTAGCAGGGAAGAGATTTGAGACTAATGACAATCTTCAAAACAACGTTAGGGCCCATCTCAAATAATTGGCAGCAACATTCTATGACAAGGGAATGGAAAAGCTCATCCACAGATATGACAAATGCCTCAATCTTCACGGTGATTGTGTCGAAAAGCATGTATGTTTGTACCTAACTTTTGGTAATAAATTCATTTTGTTATTTACACTTGTCTTTGTTTTATGGACCATCAAAACCTGAAAAAAAATGTCCCTGTATTTATTGTAATTAATAGTAAATTATTTAACTCAATTACAAAGGTAAAATTATGTTAAAGTATTAATTACAGTATATTTTTGAAAAATTTAGAAAGTACGTCACACCTTTGCTGTACTTACCTGCCGACGACATTCCATTCATTACTGCCGGTCCCATGTCGGGACCCATGGGACCCATTGGTCCATCTGGTCCTGGGCCCATCGGAAACTGTCAGGTTAAATAATATGACATGTACACAAATTTAAATTTAAAACCAGGTTGAGATTTTCTAAAATTAAACAGAGATGCCAAGAAGGATAAATCTCTAAATTAAACAACTATTCTTCATTAGAATACAAGGAAAATAAGGAAGGATTGTTTATAACAATTTGATTAACATTTCATAATATTTACCGCAGACATACTACCCCCAGGTACTGGCTTCATCATAGCATACATTCCATCACCACCCGAACTTGTTGAATCTATAAGAACGATAACGTATTTTCCTTTAGGAAATTATTTTAGAACAATGTAATATTTAAGACGTGTTTAATCTCTACCTTGTGGGCTTGGCATTATTGGCGTTCCTGGACCTGGTGGACCCGTACTAGAAACCGGAGGACCCTAATAAAAAGACAGTTTGAATATCAAATTCACAATTTCAATTTGATTAATCCTTCAATAAATTTGTTTGATGGCCAACTTACCCCATAATGACTACCGGGAGATGCCGAAGAGTAATTCATCTAAAAAGAAATCAGATAAGATTAGAACACTAGTCGTTTAAGTGTCTCGTGACGAAGAGTATAAAGAAAAATAAAATTATATATATATATATATTTTTTTTTTAAAAAAACTTTCAGCAATTTTTGAACATTATATTTGACAGTCAAATGGCCAAAACACTTGAGCGCACAACTACCACTCTGAGGAATTCAACTTCAAATCGGGTTGAATTCTCAGAAGATTTCTGTAGAAAGTCCCTCACACCCAATCACTCCATTATCTGAACTTGAAGAGAGACGAAACAAGGGCTCTCTCGATGCCCATAGGATAGAAAAAGTTACAAAAGTTATATTTTTAGCTACATAACAACACACAAAAATTTCAATAACTTAAAAAAACCTATTTCTTTCTGTAGGCAACAACAAAACATACTTCGTTTTGTGTTTTAATATTTACCATTGTAAAATTAAATCATTAAGGATAGATTTACCATTAATCTAAAAATAGAAACAAAGAAAAATATACTTATCCACTTACATAGGAGGCATACCGGGTCCGCCGGGTCCCATGGCATTGTTGGGCGGAGGCCTCATTCCTCCATAACTCTGCAACCGAAACGTCAGTAAAGTTAGCAAGACCACAGACAGAGCGCGAGACAGCGCAAGGTTCAAATTCAGACTTACCGCGGGATTCATGGGTCCGAGTGGCTGTCCCCTGGGGGGATTCATCCGAGGGTTCATCGGGCTCATTCCGGGTGGGCCTAGGCGAGGTAACATTATTCAAATTTTTACAGTATTTAATCGAGAATGGAATAAATAAGTAAACAATAAATTTTTTAAAAACACGCACAAAAGACAATCTGCACTCAAAACATACAAAAATAAAAAGGAAGGCTAAACATGTATTAACTATCCTTTCAAGAGTACAAGTGGAGGCAGGCATCATAAAAGACTTTCCATTCTTATTTACATAAACGGTTAATAAAAAAGGGGGCAGTCGGAAAAAATAAATCTCGGGCATGATGCCGACCCGACCAAAACACAGAAATCATGCATGATGTGACAATTGGATTAAAGATTAAAAACAAAACAAAACAAAACCACACACACATACACACACGTGGCAGTCGGTCCATTAAATGTAAAATTACAGGAAGAAATGTTGAATGCCTCGTGATCGCGATAAAAAAAAATAATAATAATAATAATAAGTGACGATCGATCGCACATTCGTTAAAAGAGCTTTCAAGGAAACGTTTAAAAGCATGAGACTCTTCTCGTTTAACAAGCTTCTCCCATCCAAAACTCCTCACGTTCGTTCTTATTATTTATTTATTTATGTCTTTTATTCGTTTGTCCGAAAGCAGCCAATCATCTGACAGATACGTCATTGAAATAACAAGCGTTTGTAGGCAGAAAAAAAAATCAAATGGAAAAGAATTCCGCAAGCAACGTGTCAACTAGCGCAAAACGTGCGCCCCAACACCACCAACCCACCCGCGGACGCCGTGAGTCGAGTCTACGCGACGCGCCCTCTCGCGCATCACTCCCCTTTCGACACGCACACAAATAACAGATATACGCACACACACGCACGTATACGTAATGGACGTAAAAATAAGTCAGACGGACAGAGGAAGAAAAAAAATTTTTCTTTAAAAAATAATAGTAATAATAATAATAATAAAAAACACAAAATTAAAAAATAAAGCTGAAGATCGTTTGCCTACCTTGCCAGCCTACAAATTCAGCGCTTTCACCTGGGCAGCGAGAGGTTAGGAGGGCGCAAGATGGGGAGAGAAACGGAAGATTTGGTTAATACGGCGAGAATAACGATAGAAACATGTTAATATATCTAGTAGGGGGAGAAAGTACGGGAGGGCACGCCACGAGTAAATATACCCCTTCTTTAACTTAATTCGAATTTTTTTCTACGTACAGAGACACCCCTGTATACCCCTTTTTAACTTAAGAAAAGTATACCCCCTTTACAACACGCTTTCCCCGTAGAGAATAAAATAAAATAAAAAATTATAAAAATAACGACGATAAGGAAATAAATAAAAATAATAATACTCGTGCAGAATTATAATTAAAAACCAAAAAATCAATTATAAGAATGTATATACTTAAGGAGAAGAGGCAGAATCGTATAAAGACATACTCACCTTGCCTGGTGGGGTCCATGCTGTTCGGCATCATGGGCTGCCCTGGCACGCTACCCGGGGGCTAAAGTGGGGGAGAGATTAAAAGAAAACGTCACCAAGACGAACGGCTCTGGAGAAAGGCGTGCGACGCGTAAATACACGACGCGAAAAACAGCGTATACAACACTAGAAATAAATAAAACGCGCTTTACCCGCGCGTGTTAACGGTACGAGCGCGCGAAGCGTAGGAATCTGTTTTCATTTATTTTTTGACGTTTCCATCCCTCACGCAATCCCGACAGAAAGGACAGAGGGAGGGGGAAAAACAAAAATCAATGAAGTAAGGTGCGAGCGGAAAGGGGGAAAAAAGGAAGCTCCGAGTCGACGGGCGCACACGCAAAACGCAAGCACCTGGGGCTTCCCATCGACTCGCGTCTCCCCCGTTGCCCGTAGCGTAGAGAAAAAGGCAAGTGCCAAGATGGGCTACTTACGTTGAAGTCTACCTGTTGCGACATCCGAACGCCTCCTGGCCTGGGCCCTCCGGGATACCTGGGCGACATGAACGGCTGAAAAAGAGAAAAAGACGAGACACGCCACAATTTACAATTCGAGCCTCCAGGAGGAAAATTTTTGCCAGCGCATCTATTAGGGGAAAGGGAAGGGGAGAGAGAGAGAGGGATAAAAGCATACACACACACACACAAATAGTAGGGTAGAGCGGCGGAGCGGGACCGGCCGTTAAGGGAAAAGCGTAATGGTCCACTTAAAAACTGTGGCACAGCTTACCCGAGCAGCAATTTCCCAGCTCGAGTCACCGGATACGGCGGAACGACAGCTGCAACGGATAGACGCCATCTGTTGTTCTCTCCTCCGCTTCTTTTCTCGTACCTACCCCCCCGCCGGCGGCTTTAAGTTACCCACGGGCTTCTTCTCCCGCACTTCCCGTCTTGTTTGTCCAGACGGGTCACGTGCTCCTTCCCGATTCGAGAGACCGATTTCCGGACCCAAAAGGAGCGGGAACGGAGGGTAGCCAGACACAAAAGGGTCGCTCCCCCCGCTCTCCTGGCAAACGGAGGATTAAGGGTTGCGACAGACAAGACGGGGATAAAGGAGAGGTCCCCCCTCCTCTTAGGGCGGGGCGGGACGAGAAGAAAGGGTCCACTCATCTGCCGTCCGGTCGGGCGGGGAGGAGGAGTAGGAGGAGGAGGAAGAAGAGGGGCGGGCCCCTCCTCGGCGGGAGCGCGTCACCGGTGACGGAAGCCGGCGCGCGCGGACAGGCGCAATCGATAGCGGGCCAATTACGTGCCGGTTCCCGTCGTGCTCCGGGATTAAACGTCAATCGAGACGCGGGACGATATTACCTGCGGGACGGAAGAAGGATTAGGAGCTGGGGGAAGAGAGAGACGCCGTCCAAAATTGACCCCGGGCCCTGCCGAACGTTGCCGAAACTCTTCCGAAAACGTCCGAAGCCACTCCGAGAACTCGGCTGGGACAGACCAAGTCGCGACGTCGGCCGAACGAGACGTGTCGGCGGACACCGGCCGAGGTGAGTACCCGTTACCTAGGCGTTCCGGTCTTCGGGCCCGCCGCTCCCTCCTCCGCTCTCCCCCTCGGGCCCCGGGGAGGCGCCGCGCGCCGCGGCCGGCTGGTGACAGCCCGCTTCCGGCGCGGAATAACGCCCGGCGGAGTTGGAAATTCCCGGACTCTTCTCGTCTCGTTTTTTTCTATTTCCCTACCCTTCCTTCCCGCGCCTTTCGGCCCGACACCTCGAATTTCGCTCTTTCCGTCCGGAGTCGGGGGGTTCGCCGGCGCCGCCATCTGGCGGCCGTCGCCGTAACTATAGCGCGCCGATAAACTGTGCCACAACTTTTCTCGGAAGATTAAGGCTACGTTAAATTAAAGGCCTGACCCGCTCGATCTCCACTCCAAATGCACCCCTTTCTCAGATATATTTTAAGAAAATAACTTAACAATTAGAATACTTATAACTAGAGAGAAATCGATATTAGGTTCGAACCCCCGAGTGGTGCGGTTGCATTTATTTCCCTTTATGGTACGAAGTGACGTAAGTGTTTAGTCTGCGTACACAGGTAGATAAACGCCCAAGGGCTAAATTTAAATTGCTACAAGTGTGTCAAGTGCGGTAGGAAATGCTGCTGAAACCCATCTGTTGTGCATGTGAAGTAACGCAATATGGCCTCTGCCCTGAGTGAATGGGAGCGGACGTGCTGAGGTTACAATTCTGCGGACGGAATGGGGTATCGCAGACGAATTCAGAAACGTAATATCCGAAACCACTCTGGTCCAGTGGAAAGTGAGTGTATCTCTTGCCGGTGGAATTAGACTGTCGCCTTCACCCTCTGCTGAAATCGAATCAGAGAGTCTTTGGTTCCCCTCTGCGTGCTGTGCTCTTCAAAATATTTGAAAATTAACAATACAGACCCCAAACTTCTTGATACTGGATGCCAGAGGCTGCCACAGCCGGGGAGATCTGAGGATCCAGGCAAACTCACTGGAGCTTTCTTACTGAGCGTGCGAATGCTGCGATGCAAAGAAGCAATACCAAAGAAGAATGCAATTTTTGAACAACAATGCTGGGAAAGAGAAAAGACTGACAGGGTGAAGGCGGTTGCACCATTTGTATCCAGCGTTTGAAATTTGATTTTTTTAATCACCACCAGTGCTTAAATAGTACCTTTGCTGCATATAAAAGGATTGGTAAATGTGAAAAGTGATGACATGGGACTGATGGAATAAATCCGTATCTGATATTTGGGTCCCTAATATATTCTTTAGGATGTTTACTTAATATTTATTTTATCAAAGAAGGAGAAAGATTGAAACAGGTAATTTTACCCAAACAAATTGGAAAATGAAAACAGCACAGATAACTTATTGACCAGTCCGATGCAGCCCTACAATAGAAAGCAAATAACTTGCTGCATTATTAAATTTGACTGGCAGTTTGAGAGTGATGCATTTTGTTTGATGTCCATTTATAAAAAGTCAGCAGGGATAGCAGTTTTCATTTTGTAAACAACAAAAAATTGTTTCTATATTTTTTGTACTATTCAACACTTAAGAATAATTCCATATATTTAATTCTAAAAAAACAAGATTAAACTTGTTTTTTTTAAAGACAACACAGTTTCAGATTAAACTTCTTACTGAATACTCAATTCCAGCAATAAAAATTTAACTTTCTGACAAATATGCAAAATTTTTTTTTTTGTTTCTTTAGAAAACTTTCCTAACAAGGCTAACTCATGTATTAATTGAGGAAAGTCTGTTATGATGCTTTCTTGTAAAATGAAAATTGAGAAATTCATGTTAATTCTACACATTTCTAACATGAAGTAGAGTAAAATTAATATTGTATACATGCAGAATTAAATTTTACAACAATGCAAGAGAAATGATGCTATTGTTATCCAGTTTTTAATGCTTTTATGCAAAGAGCATAGCTGTAAATGTGAATAAATGGTTAGACATGTTCTACTTAGAAGTTTGCATAAATTAAGCATTTCCTACACAAGCATGCCGGTACAGGCACCAGAACAGATAACAAAAGGCCGTTGTTGCACACCCTTTATGCATTCAGACTCTCTGATGGAGCTACCAATGAAATGCCGATCCCCTTCCCGCTTAAAAAAGCAAAGCCTCTTGCAGAGTGCAAGGAGAAATATCAGCGACCAGATGGGTCTGCTTATTTAGGTGTCGAAGTTCTCTCTCCCCGTCATTCTTTGTTCTTAATTCTGCATATGCAACTTACTTTGAATTTCAAATGTGTAATTTAAAATGTCTCAAAAGTAAACATAAATCAATGTCTATGTGTAAAACTTTCCAAATGCAGTTATTAATTTTGTTAACGTTAATTATTCACGCTCAAGACTTAAAAATATAATCAAATTCCATAATACAAATCTATTACGGAATGATCCTTATCAAATTTTCATTTTTGTAAATTATTATTAATTGAAAATACCTTCTGGCTTGGTAATTCTCAAGTTTTGCTTATAACAAAGATTTTAAGATAAAAATGGAGTATAATTAATTCTCCTGTGAATTATATAAAACTAATCTCATAGCAATATTAACATTTCAGACTGATATAAATTCATAAATATCTAACAACAATATAAAATATTAAGTAAAGTCTGATATATTGAATAATTTTGCTGAAAAATACCACAAAATGTGAGGAATATTATATCATTGACATTCATTAATTTACAGGCACCTACTTATTTTTGATGCTTTTCTATGTAATAAACTCCAAAAATTAAGTGTCATTTTCCATTTTATTGTTTTGTTCCTTTTGATTGTGCGCAATATAAACATTTATGGGGTTCTTGTGCCAAAAAAACCTGCACAGATCCTAACTGACCATTCGTGCTTATGCATAAAAGTCTTAACTGTCAATTTTGATATGATTTAATGGTATTGTCCTATCTTAATTCAAATTAGGCACTTAAAGACTCATAATTAAGTTTCTTCAAAAATTTATATTCTAAATTTCATTTTCGTTCTGGAATATTACTCGAGAAAGGTAAAATTGCCTACAATTTAACAAGTTTTGCTTTATTTTATATATTTTATTGCATGGAAGTCCTTAATTGTAATTACTCCATTGACTTCCCTATATGAAATTAATCTGAAGATACTACTTTAATGTGTTAAAAGTAACATTACAAGCAAGCTAAATAATAAAAGATAAATATAAAATAAGTAAATTTGGTTTTTATGCAATAAAACAGCTAGAGGAAAGAAGGTGCTGAAAGAAAATCCTATTATTTTGAGTTATCAGATTCTCCTTGTTGCACTTTTCTATTTTGTATTCCATTTATTTACAATATTACCACAAATGTACAAGCAATAATTTCTGTAATAGCCGATTATTACACTCAACAAAAATTAAAACAAATGTTGCAGGATGAGGAATAGAGACACGGAAAGCAGCACTGTAAAATTTGTAAGTGATATAAAATAAAAAATAATAAACAAGGCTTTCTTCCTTGGTGCTATTTCCTAAAAAGCAGACCTACTTTCTACTTTATTTAACAGGAGATGCTAATCCAGAAATCACTGTGACAGGGGAGGAGATTAGAGCGTATTTAGGCGGTCAGTTTCCCAGAAGGGGAAAGTGGATTCCAAAACTGACTCAAGAAGGGAAAAGAGGTTATGCAATCTTAGAAATCGTACAACTTTCTTTCTAATTTGAAAGTTTCTAAATGTTCTTAATGATTGTTTTAAATAAAATTTTGTCTCCCATTAATACTTGAACAATGTTGAAACAAACAGATTAGTAATGAAGAAAACTGTACTATTGTCATCTTATTTATCATGTCTTGAAATAATTAATAGTATATAATTTGTTAAATAATTTCATGCTTTATATATAATATAATATATATATATATATATAAAATATTTAATTTACAATTTATGAGTACTATTTATGAGTACTATTTAAAATTTATGAGTGCTATTGTCATATATTTTTGTGTCTACCAGTGGCCAAGTGAATAAGACCACCAAATGCTGGTAAGTTGGTTGCAAGTTTGCACTTTGCCATTAGGCCGGCCATATGATATTTCGTTGTTTTTTTCCACATGTCTAACATCTAAACAGGAGGCGGTTTTCCATAGAAAAGTCTTCCTGGGAGCGCTGCAGATTGTCCACACACCACATTACCCCTCCCGTCATTTCAGCCATTGTTTTTCATATTGTGTAATTTGTCGAACAGACACAGATTTAACCATTTGCAAACTAAATGACAGATTATGTGTAGTCGGGGACCAAAGTCGTGGCACAAATTTATGACTATTCCTTTTGGTATGAAAATTTTTGAAACTAACTAGTCATAAATAGCAAGTAATAATTTTGAAATAAAAATATATATTTGTTTATCTTAACTAATAATCATTTAGACATGCATGGGACTTCTAATTGTCTTTCTGTTTAAAATTTCTACACCTTTAATTTGCCATTGAATATAAAGAGCAATTTGAATTAATACTAATCATCATAGATTTAAAAAATTATTTACAGATTTTCAAATCTTTTGTTTGAAAAATGATGCTTATAAAAAGTTTAATTATAAAAATTTTCATTTTATTAACTGTCAAATTATAAATATTTTTAAC